GGATCCCAAAGGGGTCATGGATGGGATCCCAAAGGGGTCATGGATGGGATCCCAAAGGGGTCATGGATGGGATCCCAAAGGGGTCATGGATGGGATCCCAAAGGGGTCATGGATGGGATCCCAAAGGGGTCATGGATGGGATCCCAAAGGGGTCATGGATGGGATCCCAAAGGGGTCATGGATGGGATCCCAAAGGGGTCATGGATGGGATCCCAAAGGGGTCATGGATGGGATCCCAAAGGGGTCATGGATGGGATCCCAAAGGGGTCATGGATGGGATCCCAAAGGGGTCATGGATGGGATCCCAAAGGGGTCATGGATGGGATCCCAAAGGGGTCATGGATGGGATCCCAAAGGGGTCATGGATGGGATCCCAAAGGGGTCATGGATGGGATCCCAAAGGGGTCATGGATGGGATCCCAAAGGGGTCATGGATGGGATCCCAAAGGGGTCATGGATGGGATCCCAAAGGGGTCATGGATGGGATCCCAAAGGGGTCATGGATGGGATCCCAAAGGGGTCATGGATGGGATCCCAAAGGGGTCATGGATGGGATCCCAAAGGGGTCATGGATGGGATCCCAAAGGGGTCATGGATGGGATCCCAAAGGGGTCATGGATGGGATCCCAAAGGGGTCATGGATGGGATCCCAAAGGGTTCATGGATTTTATCCCAAAGGGTTCAAGGGTGGATCCCAAAGGGTTCCGGGGTGGATCACAAAGGGTTCATGGGTTGATCCCAAAGGGTTCATGGATGGGATCTCAAAGGATTCAAGGATGGGATCTCAAAGGGTTCCTGGGTGAATCTCAAAGGGTTCTGGGGTGGATCCCAAAGGGTTCCTGGAAGGAGCCCCAGGATGGATCTCAAGGGGGTTTGTTGATGGTCATCGATGGTCATTCATGGCCTTCAATGGTCACTAATGGCCGTACATGGCTATCGATAGTCATTGATGGTCATTAACGGCCATTGATAGTTATTTAATGGATCAATCCCAAAGGGTTCAGGGGTGGGATCTCAAAGGATTCAAGGATGGGATCTCAAAGGGTTCCTGGGTGAATCTCAAAGGGTTCTGGGGTGGATCCCAAAGGGTTCCTGGAAGGAGCCCCAGGATGGATCTCAAGGGGGTTTGTTGATGGTCATCGATGGTCATTCATGGCCTTCAATGGTCACTAATGGCCCTACATGGCTATCGATGGTCATTGATGGTCATTAATGGGCATTGATAGTTATCGATGACTGTTAATGGCCATCGATGGACACTGATGGTTATTGATGGTCATTCATGATCATTCATGGCCTTTAATGTCATTGATGGTCAGTGATGGCCGTTGATGGTCATCGAGAGTCTTTGGTGATCATTCATGGCTGTTAATGGCCACTGATGGTCAGCGATGGTCATGGATGGTCATTGACGGCCATCGATGGTCACTGATGGTCTTCGATGGCCGTTAATGGCCCTTGATGGACACTGATGGTCATTGATGGTCATCAACGGCTGTTGATGGTCATTGATAGTCGTTGGTGATCATTCATAGCCATTAATGGCCACTGATGGTTATCAATGGCTGTTGATGGTCATTCATGGCCTTTGATGGCCATCGATGGACATTGATGGCTGCTGGTGATCATTCATGTCTGTTAATGGCCATCGATGGACACCGATGGCCATTGATGGTCATCGATGGCTGTTGATGGTCATTCATGGCCTTTGATGGCCATTGGTGATCATTCACATCTGTTAATGGCCATCGATGGACACTGATGGTTATTGATGGTCATTAATGGCTATTGACGGCCATTCATGGCCTTTGATGGTCATCAAGGGCCATTGATGGTCATCTGTGGGATCTCAGCACATCACTGTGGATGTGCAGAGACACCAGGGGAGCCCCTGGGGGGCTCGGAAACCCTGGAATGCTGCCAAAAGGGTTTGGTGGTTGGATTTCGATCCATCAAAAGGAGAAGAACCTGTGAAGGAGGAAATGAGAACTTCTTGGGTGTGAATGATACCTTTATAGAGGGAAATATAAATTTTAGAAAAATAGGTACAGGGGGGTCATGAAGGCAAGATGGAGGATTCAGGGCGTGGTCCTGTGTTCTTCTTTCTTCTTCATGTCTTCCATTTTGTGTGGTGATGTTGGCACTTGGGGATTGGTTCATGGTGAAGGTACACTTGTCTATAAGGGTGAATAGTATTGGGAAATAAAGGTAAATATGGCACACGTAATTTTTACTATAAAAGACACAGCTGCCCTGTGGGCGGGGGAGAGTGCACTCGACTGTCCTGCTGAGCGGACCTCGGCTGGGCAGAGAGAAAACTTTGGAGATAAGAGATAATAAACAGAACTGAAGACCGAGAATTTGAGAGTCCAGACTCATCCTTCGCAATCGCGGCCGCCCAGAACCACCTTTCCCCGTGTCGGGGCAGAGACACATAACAGCGGACCCCGACAGTCATCAATCGTCATTGACGGCTGTTGGTGATCATCAATGACCGTAGATGGTCATTGATGGCCATTGATGGCCATTGATGGCCATTCACAGTCATCGATGGTCATTGATGGTCATTGATGGCTATCGATGGTCAATGATAGTCATTCCTGGCCTTTGATGGTCATCGATGGCCATTGATGGTCATCGATTGTCACTGATGGCCGTTGGTGAACATTCATGGCCATTGATGGATGTTGATGGTCACTGATGGTCATTGATGGCCGTTGGTGAACATTCATGGCCATTGATGGATGTTGATGGTCACTGATGGTCATTGATGGACGTTGGTGAGCATTCATGGCCATTGATGGCTGTTGATGGTCATCGATGGTCACAGATGATCATCAATGGTCACTGATGGCTATTGATTGTCATCGATGTCCCTTGGTGATCACTCATAGCCATTAATGGCCATTGATGGACACTGATGGTCATCAATGGTCATTGACGGATGTTGCTGACCGTTGATGGTCATCGATTGTCATTGATGGCCGTTGATGGTCATTGATGGTCTCGGATTATCATTGATTGCCATCGGTAGTGAATGATGGTCATCGATTGTCATTGATGGCCATTGGTGGTCATTGATGGTCATTGAGGGCCATTGGTAGTCATTAATTGCTGCTGATGGTCATTGATGGTCATTGATGGCCGTTGATGACCATTCATGGCCATTGATGGTCACTGATGGTCACTGATGGTCACTGACGGTCATCAATGGCCGTCAATGGTCATTCATGGTCGTTAAAGGCCAGAGATGGTTGTTGATGGTCATTGATGGCCTTTAATGGCCATGGATGGTCATTGATGGTCATCGATGGTCCTTAATGGCCATTGTTGGTGATGGATGGTCATTGATGACCATTGACGGTCATTGATGACCATTAGTGATCATTCATGGCTGTTCATGGTCATCGATGGTCGTTAATGGCCATCGATGGTGATGGATGGTCAGAAATGGTCATTGATGGTCATCGATGGTCATTGATGACCATTGACGGGCATTGATGACCATTAGTGATCCTTCATGGCTGTTGATGGTCATTAATGGTCATTGATGGTTGTTAATGGCCACTGACGGTCATCGATGGTCATTGATGACCATTGACGGGCATTGATGACCATTAGTGATCCTTCATGGCTGTTGATGGTCATTAATGGTCATTGATGGTTGTTAATGGCCACTGACGGTCATCGATGGTCATTGATGACCATTGACGGGCATTGATGACCATTAGTGATCCTTCATGGCTGTTGATGGTCATTAATGGTCATTGATGGTTGTTAATGGCCACTGACGGTCATCGATGGTCATTGATGACCATTGACGGGCATTGATGACCATTAGTGATCCTTCATGGCTGTTGATGGTCATTAATGGTCATTGATGGTTGTTAATGGCCACTGACGGTCATCGATGGTCATTGATGACCATTGACGGGCATTGATGACCATTAGTGATCCTTCATGGCTGTTGATGGTCATTAATGGTCATTGATGGTTGTTAATGGTCATTGATGGCCATTGATGGTCATTTATGGTCATTTATGGCCATTGATGGTCATTAATGGCTATTGATGGTCATTTATGGCCATTGATGGTCATTGATGGTTGTTAATGGCCACTGATGGTCATCGATGGTCAGAAATGGTCATTGATGGTCATCGATGGTCATTGATGACCATTAGTGATCATTCATGGCTGTTGACGGTCATCGATGGTCATTAATGGCTATTGATGGTCATCGATGGTCGTTGATGGTCATTGATGACCATTAGTGATCATTCATGGCTGTTGACGGTCATCGATGGTCATTAATGGCTATGGATGGTTGTTAATGGCCACTGACGGTCATCGATGGTCATTAATGGCTATGGATGGTTGTTAATGGCCACTGACGGTCATCGATGGTCATTAATGGCTATGGATGGTTGTTAATGGCCACTGATGGTCATCGATGGTCGTTGATGGTCATTGATGACCATTAGAGATCATTCATGGCTGTTGACGGTCATTGATGGTCATTGATGGTCATTTAGGTCATCGATGGTCATTGATGGCCATTAATGGTCATCGATGTCCCCTCCTGCCCCACTGAGTGTCCAGCAGTGCTGGCCGAGGCCTTTTGTCCACTCCGTGTCCAGCGGTCATCGCGACCTTTCACCCTGTGGCAGCAAAGAGCGCCGGCCATGCCCGGGACAAAGGGGGTGTGGCCTTTTCCAGCTGTTCCCGGGTGTTTTTCGCCGTTTCCCAGCTGTCCCCAGACGTTCTCCAGATGTTCTCCAGGTGTTCTCCGCTCCCAAAAGCTCCCTTCGGCAACTCCCGCCACACCGCCGTAAAGCGCCGCGTCGCCGCGTCGCAATTCCACATGCCACACCGCCGTAAAGCGAGCACTCGCGGCAACATGGCGCCGCGCGGCTCGCCTCGGTGTATCCCATCGCGCCCCGCGCGCCGCACAGGCGGCGTTTGCCGGCTTTGTGCCTCGGTGTATCCCAGCATGCCCCGCGCCGCCGCCATTCCCGGCAGCCCCCGCGCCGCCCTCAGCAGCCGCCGCCGCTGCCGCCGCTCCGGTGGGTAGCGGGATCGCGGGAAGGGATTCCCACCGGGATCGGGATCACCGGGAGGACCCCGGGATCCGCCGGGACCGCCCTGAGCTCCGGTGTCGCCCGCAGGTCCCGGATCCCCCCGCGCCGAGTGAGGAAATGGTGAGGGAACTGCTCCCCCCAGTCCCCCCCTCCGCAGGAATGGAACCGGCCGGGCCCGGAGCGAGCCCCGCCCCCCCCAGAGCTCCCAGTACGGCCCAGTTCAGCCCAGTTCGGCCCAGTTCAGCCCAGTTCAGCCCAGTTCGGCCCAGTTCAGCCCAGTTCAGCCCAGTTCGGCCCAGTTCAGCCCAGTTCAGCCCAGTTCGGCCCAGTTCAGCCCAGTTCAGCCCAGTTCGGCCCAGTTCAGCCCAGTTCAGCCCAGTTCGGCCCAGTTCAGCCCAGTTCAGCCCAGTTCGGCCCAGTTCAGCCCAGTTCAGCCCAGTTCGGCCCAGTTCAGCCCAGTTCAGCCCAGTTCGGCCCAGTTCAGCCCAGTTCAGCCCAGTTCGGCCCAGTTCAGCCCAGTTCAGCCCAGTTCGGCCCAGTTCAGCCCAGTTCAGCCCAGTTCGGCCCAGTTCAGCCCAGTTCAGCCCAGTTCGGCCCAGTTCAGCCCAGTTCAGCCCAGTTCGGCCCAGTTCAGCCCAGTTCAGCCCAGTTCGGCCCAGTTCAGCCCAGTTCAGCCCAGTTCGGCCCAGTTCAGCCCAGTTCAGCCCAGTTCGGCCCAGTTCAGCCCAGTTCAGCCCAGTTCGGCCCAGTTCAGCCCAGTTCAGCCCAGTTCGGCCCAGTTCAGCCCAGTTCAGCCCAGTTCGGCCCAGTTCAGCCCAGTTCAGCCCAGTTCGGCCCAGTTCAGCCCAGTTCAGCCCAGTTCGGCCCAGTTCAGCCCAGTTCAGCCCAGTTCGGCCCAGTTCAGCCCAGTTCAGCCCAGTTCGGCCCAGTTCAGCCCAGTTCAGCCCAGTTCGGCCCAGTTCAGCCCAGTTCAGCCCAGTTCGGCCCAGTTCAGCCCAGTTCAGCCCAGTTCGGCCCAGTTCAGCCCAGTTCAGCCCAGTTCGGCCCAGTTCAGCCCAGTTCAGCCCAGTTCGGCCCAGTTCAGCCCAGTTCAGCCCAGTTCGGCCCAGTTCAGCCCAGTTCAGCCCAGTTCGGCCCAGTTCAGCCCAGTTCAGCCCAGTTCGGCCCAGTTCAGCCCAGTTCAGCCCAGTACGGCCCAGTTCAGCCCAGTCCCCTCCCAGTCCATCCCAGATCAGCCCAGTTCAACCCAGTACGGCCCAGTTGAGCCCAGTGACCTCCCAGTCCCTCCCAGTTTGATCCCAGTCTTCCCCAGTCCCCCCCAGTCCCTCCCAGTATAAACGAGTCCCTCCCAGTCCATCCCAGTATGGCCCCAGTCCCCCCCAGTTCCCTCCCAGTATGTCCCAGTATACCCCAGTCCCTCCCAGTTACTTCCAGTCCTTCCCAGTCCCCTCCCAGTTCATCCCAGTACAAAACTCTTCCCTCCCAGTTTGATCCCAGTCCCCCCCAGTCCCTCCCAGTCCCTCCCAGTTTGATCCCAGTCCCCCCCAGCACGGGCGGCTCAAGCTCCGCCCCCCGGACTCGGCGCGGCGCCGGCAGCGGGAGGAGAAACTGAGGCACTACCGGGAGGCCATGGACACCCTGCTGGGGGTACTGGTGTATACTGGGAGGGACTGGGAGGGACTGGGATCAAACTGGGAGGGACTGGGAGGGGTTGGGGTCAAACTGGTTTATACTGGGAGGGACTGGTCCGTATTGGTCCAGCAGGGGGCGCTGCCCGCCCAGGTGCTGTCCCTGACTGGAACTGGGAATTACCGGGTCTATACTGGTTTATACTGGTCCGTACCGGTCCATACTGGTCCGTACTGGTCCGTACTGGTCCATACTGGTCCGTACTGGTCCGTACTGGTCCGTACTGGTCCATACCGGTCCGTACTGGTCTGTACTGGTCTGTACTGGTCCCGCAGGGGGCGCTGCCCGCCCAGGTGCTGTCCCTCACGGGCTCGGTCCTGGCCGCCAATCCCGACGTGGGCACCTGCTGGAACCTGCGCCGCCGGGCACTGGGAGCACTGGGAGGGGACTGGTTTGTACTGGTTCATACTGGTTTGTACTGGTTTGTACCGGGAGGGCACTGGGAAGGGTTAAAGGGGGGCTGGGAGGGACTGGGAGAGCCCTCAGTGGGCTGTACTGGTTTATACTGGTCTATACTGGTTTATACTGGTTTATACTGGTTTATACTGGTTTATACTGGTTTATACTGGTTTATACTGGTTTATACTGGTTTCAGGGTGCCCTCAGAGCTGTCGTTCGTGGGGCAGTGCCTGGGGGTGAACCCCAAATCCTACGGGGCGTGGCACCACCGCGGCTGGGTGCTGGGCCACGCCCCGGCGCCCCCTGCTGGCCGGGAGGACCTGGCGCTGTGCGAGCGCCTCCTGGCGGCCGACCCCCGCAACTGTGAGTACTGGTTTGTACTGGTTTGTACTGGGATGGGGTCGTGGGCGTGCTGGGAGAGGACTGGTGTCACTGGTTTGTACTGGTTTGTACTGGTTTGTACTGGGAGAGGGAATAGGGGGTATGTGTTAGCGCCTCCTGCTGGCCGGGAGGACCTGTTGGCGCACTGCAAGTTATACTGGTTTGTACTGGGATGGGGTTCTTGGGGGTCACTGGGTTATACTGGTTTGTACTGGTTTATACTGGGAGGGGCTTTGGGAGCTTACTGGGGGATACTGGGAGGAGCTTTGGGAGCCACTGGGTTATACTGGGGGATACTGGTTTGTACTGGGATGGGGCCTTGGACCTACTGGGAGGGACTTCAGGTTGTGCTGGGCTTACTGGTTTATACTGGGAGCTGCCACCACGGGCTGCAGGAACTCAGAGGTGCTTCCCAGTCCTTACTGGTTTGTACTGGTGCCCTCCCAGTATAACCCTGGGAGCCCCTGGAGTGCACTGGGAACGGGTTTGGGTGCACGAACCCTTACTGGTTTATACTGGGAGCTGCTGTTACGAGCCTCAGGGGCTCGGGGGCGGCTCCCAGTGCTTACTGGTTTGTACTGGTGCCCTCCCAGTATAAACCAGTAAGGGTTCGTGCACCCAAACCCGTTCCCAGTGTGGTCTAGGGGCTCCCAGGTTTATACTGGGAGCTGCTGTTACGAGCCTCAGGGGCTCGGGGGCGGCTCCCAGTGCTTACTGGTTTGTACTGGTGCCCTCCCAGTCCACGCCTGGGAGCACCGGCGGGCTCTGGTGGCCGGCCAGGACCCCGAGGCCGAGCTGGCCTTCGCCGGGGCCCTGCTGAGCCGCGACTTCTCCAACTTCTCGGCCTGGCACCACCGGCTGCGGCTGCTGGCGCCCGCCCGGAGCCGCGGGCAGGGCGAGGCCGGGGCGCTGCCCCCCAAGAGGCTGAAGGAAGGTGAGAGACTCCCCAAAAATCCCCTGGATCTCCAAAAAGATTTAGGGGGTTGGGGTGGGTGGACGGACCTGGTGTCCCTAAATCCCCATTGACTTTAATGGGGGTAGACCTGGTGTCCAAAATTTCCATTGACTTTAATGGGGTAGACCCGTTGTCATAAAACTCCATTGACTTTAATGGGGTAGACCTGGTGTCCCAAAGTCCCCATTGACTTAAATGGAGTAGACATGTTGTCCAAAAATCTCCATTGACCTTAATGGGGCAGACCTGTTGTCCAAATTCCCCATGTAGACCTGGTGTCCTAAAATCTCCATTAACTTTGGTGTCCCAAATTCCCCTTTGACTTTCATGGGATAGACCTGGTGTCTTTGCAATTTGAATTCAATGGGGGTAGACCTGTTGCCCAAACTCTCCATTGACTTCAATAAGAGTAGACCTGGTGTCCCTGATTCCCTATTGACTTTAATAGGGGTAGACCTGGTGTCCTAAAATCTTCATTAACTTTGGTGTCCCCAAATTCCCATTGACTTTAATGGGGTAGACCTGGTGCCTGTAAATTCCCATTGACTCTTAACGGGGAAGACCTGGTGTCCAAAATCTCCATTGGTTTCAATGGGGTTAGACCTGGTGTCCAAATGTTCCCATTGCCTTTAATGGGGTAGACCTGGTGGCCGAAAATCTCCATTGTATTAAATGGGGGTAGACCTGGTGTCCCTACATTCCCATTGACTTTAATGGGGTAGACCTGGTGTCCCTGAATCCCCATTGACTTAAACGGGGGTAGACCTGGTGTCCCCATTATCCCATTGGTTTCAATGGGTAGATCTGGTGTCCCTACAATCCCCATTACCCTCACTGATCAGACCTGACCTCCCACACACCTGGGTGTCCCTATTCAGATTTTGGGGCACCCCCTGAGATTTTGGGGCACCTCCTTTGTCCCCCCAGAGCTGGAGCTGGTGCAGAACGCCGTCTTCACCGACCCCACGGACCAAAGCGCCTGGGTGTACCTGCGCTGCATCCTCTCCCGAGGTAACTCGGGCTTCCCTCCCACCCCTGGGGCTCTCACCTGGAGCTTTGGGGTGCCCCGTGAACGTTTGGGTGCCCCCTGACAGCCCCCCCACCTCCGAGGGTCATCTGTGTCCACGTCGACCGCGAGGACGCGACGCTGGCTGTCATCTTCTCCCGGCCTGTCAAGGTGAGTGGGGACACCTAGGACCCTCAAAAATCACATGGGTACGCCTGGATTGCCCTCAAAATCACCTGGGAACCCCCAAAAATCACATGGATACACCTGGATTGCCCCCAAAATCACCTGGTTGCCCCCCAGAATCACTTGGGAATCCCAGAAATTGCATGGGTACACCTGGATCCCCCCAAAAAATCACCTGGATACCCCCAAAAATCACATGGATACACCTAGATACTCCCAGAAATCATCTGGATCATCCTAAAACCCCTGGGGACCCCCCCAACTCGTTTTCCTGAATCCCCATTACTTTGACTGGATAGACAACCTGGCGTCTCATTTATCCCATTGACTTTATGGGAGGTACACCTGGTGTTCCTAAATCCCCATCGACTCTAATGGGGCAGACCTGGTGTCCCAAAGTCCCCATTGGGATTAATGGGGTAGACCTGGTGTCACTCAATCCCCATTGATTTCAATGGGGTAGACCTGTTGTCCCCGACCCTCCATTGACTTTAATGGGGTAGACCTGTTGTTCCAAGCCCTCCTTTATTTCAATGGGTAGACCTGGTGTCTCTTAACCCCCATTGACTTTAATGGGATAGACCTGGTGTCCCAAAATCCCCATTGGGCATAATGGGGGTAGGCCTGTTGTCCCAAAATCCCCATTGACTTCAATGGGGGCAGTCCTGTGGTCCATAAACCCCTATTAACTTTAATGGGGTAGGCCTGGTGTCCCAAAATCCCCATTCAGTTTAATAGGGGTAGACATGATGTCCCAAAATGCCCTTTACGTCAGTAGGGGTAGACTTGGTGTCTGTAAATCTTCATTGACTTTAACGTAGGCATACCTGGTGTCTGAAAATGCCATTAATTTCAATGGGGGTAGACCTGGTGTCCCAAACCTTTCATTGACTTTAATGGGGTGGACCTGGTGTCCAAAATTCCTCATTGAATTAATAGGGGTAGACTTGTTGCCCCAAAGTTCCCATTGCCTTCAATGAGGGTAGACCTGGTGTCTGTAAAATCCCCATTTACTTTAATGGGTAGACCTGTTGCCCCTACATTCCCATTGACTTTAATTGGGGTAGACCTGGTGTCTCTCAATCCCCATTGGGATTAATGGGGTAGACCTGTTGTCCCTAAACCCCCACTGACTTTAATGGGGTAGACCTGTTGTCTTTAAACATCCATTGACTTTAATGGGGTAGACCTGTTGGCCCTGATTCCCCATTGACTTCAATGGGGTAGACCTGTTGTCCCAAAAGCCCCATTTACTTTAATGGGGTAGACCTGTTGTCCCAAAAGCCCCATTTACTTTAATGGGGTAGACCTGTTGTCCCAAAAGCCCCATTTACTTTAATGGGGTAGACCTGTTGTCCCAAAAGCCCCATTTACTTTAATGGGGTAGACCTGTTGTCCCAAAAGCCCCATTTACTTTAATGGGGTAGACCTGTTGTCCCAAAAGCCCCATTTACTTTAATGGGGTAGACCTGTTGTCCCAAAAGCCCCATTTACTTTAATGGGGTAGACCTGTTGTCCCAAAAGCCCCATTTACTTTAATGGGGTAGACCTGTTGTCCCAAAAGCCCCATTTACTTTAATGGGGTAGACCTGTTGTCCCAAAAGCCCCATTTACTTTAATGGGGTAGACCTGTTGTCCCAAAAGCCCCATTTACTTTAATGGGGTAGACCTGTTGTCCCAAAAGCCCCATTTAACCTTAATGGGGCAGACCTGTTGTCCAAATTCCCCATGTAGACCTGGTGTCCTAAAATCTCCATTAACTTTGGTGTCCCAAATTCCCCTTTGACTTTCATGGGATAGACCTGGTGTCTTTGCAATTTGAATTCAATGGGGGTAGACCTGTTGCCCAAACTCTCCATTGACTTCAATAAGAGTAGACCTGGTGTCCCTGATTCCCTATTGACTTTAATAGGGGTAGACCTGGTGTCCTAAAATCTTCATTAACTTTGGTGTCCCCAAATTCCCATTGACTTTAATGGGGTAGACCTGGTGCCTGTAAATTCCCATTGACTCTTAACGGGGAAGACCTGGTGTCCAAGATCTCCATTGGTTTCAATGGGGTTAGACCTGGTGTCCAAATGTTCCCATTGCCTTTAATGGGGTAGACCTGGTGGCCGAAAATCTCCATTGTATTAAATGGGGGTAGACCTGGTGTCCCTACATCCCCATTGACTTTAATGGGGGTAGACCTGGTGTCCCTACATCCCCATTGACTTTAATGGGGGTAGACCTGGTGTCCCTACATCCCCATTGACTTTAATGGGGGTAGACCTGGTGTCCAAAATTTCCATTGACTTTAATGGGGTAGACCCGTTGTCATAAAACTCCATTGACTTTAATGGGGTAGACCTGTTGTCCAAGATCCCCATTGACTTTAATGGGGGTAGACCTGGTGTCCCTAAATCCCCATTGACTTTAATGGGGGTAGACCTGGTGTCCCAAAGTTCCCATTGACTTCAATGGAGTAGACATGTTGTCCAAAAATCTCCATTGACCTTAATGGGGCAGACCTGTTGTCCAAATTCCCCATGTAGACCTGGTGTCCTAAAATCTCCATTAACTTTGGTGTCCCAAATTCCCCTTTGACTTTCATGGGATAGACCTGGTGTCTTTGCAATTTGAATTCAATGGGGGTAGACCTGTTGCCCAAACTCTCCATTGACTTCAATAAGGGTAGACCTGGTGTCCCTGATTCCCTATTGACTTTAATAGGGGTAGACCTGGTGTCCTAAAATCTTCATTAACTTTGGTGTCCCCAAATTCCCATTGACTTTAATGGGGTAGACCTGGTGCCTGTAAATTCCCATTGACTCTTAACGGGGAAGACCTGGTGTCCAAGATCTCCATTGGTTTCAATGGGGTTAGACCTGGTGTCCAAATGTTCCCATTGCCTTTAATGGGGTAGACCTGGTGGCCGAAAATCTCCATTGTATTAAATGGGGGTAGACCTGGTGTCCCTACATTCCCATTGACTTTAATGGGGTAGACCTGGTGTCCCTGAATCCCCATTGACTTAAACGGGGGTAGACCTGGTGTCCCCATTATCCCATTGGTTTCAATGGGTAGATCTGGTGTCCCTACAATCCCCATTACCCTCACTGATCAGACCTGACCTCCCACACACCTGGGTGTCCCTATTCAGATTTTGGGGCACCCCCTGAGATTTTGGGGCACCTCCTTTGTCCCCCCAGAGCTGGAGCTGGTGCAGAACGCCGTCTTCACCGACCCCACGGACCAAAGCGCCTGGGTGTACCTGCGCTGCATCCTCTCCCGAGGTAACTCGGGCTTCCCTCCCACCCCTGGGGCTCTCACCTGGAGCTTTGGGGTGCCCCGTGAACGTTTGGGTGCCCCCTGACAGCCCCCCCACCTCCGAGGGTCATCTGTGTCCACGTCGACCGCGAGGACGCGACGCTGGCTGTCATCTTCTCCCGGCCTGTCAAGGTGAGTGGGGACACCTAGGACCCTCAAAAATCACATGGGTACGCCTGGATTGCCCTCAAAATCACCTGGGAACCCCCAAAAATCACATGGATACACCTGGATTGCCCCCAAAATCACCTGGTTGCCCCCCAGAATCACTTGGGAATCCCAGAAATTGCATGGGTACACCTGGATCCCCCCAAAAAATCACCTGGATACCCCCAAAAATCACATGGATACACCTAGATACTCCCAGAAATCATCTGGATCATCCTAAAACCCCTGGGGACCCCCCCAACTCGTTTTCCTGAATCCCCATTACTTTGACTGGATAGACAACCTGGCGTCTCATTTATCCCATTGACTTTATGGGAGGTACACCTGGTGTTCCTAAATCCCCATCGACTCTAATGGGGCAGACCTGGTGTCCCAAAGTCCCCATTGGGATTAATGGGGTAGACCTGGTGTCACTCAATCCCCATTGATTTCAATGGGGTAGACCTGTTGTCCCCGACCCTCCATTGACTTTAATGGGGTAGACCTGTTGTTCCAAGCCCTCCTTTATTTCAATGGGTAGACCTGGTGTCTCTTAACCCCCATTGACTTTAATGGGATAGACCTGGTGTCCCAAAATCCCCATTGGGCATAATGGGGGTAGGCCTGTTGTCCCAAAATCCCCATTGACTTCAATGGGGGCAGTCCTGTGGTCCATAAACCCCTATTAACTTTAATGGGGTAGGCCTGGTGTCCCAAAATCCCCATTCAGTTTAATAGGGGTAGACATGATGTCCCAAAATGCCCTTCACATCAGTAGGGGTAGACTTGGTGTCTGTAAATCTTCATTGACTTTAACGTAGGCATACCTGGTGTCTGAAAATGCCATTAATTTCAATGGGGGTAGACCTGGTGTCCCAAACCTTTCATTGACTTTAATGGGGTGGACCTGGTGTCCAAAATTCCTCATTGAATTAATAGGGGTAGACTTGTTGCCCCAAAGTTCCCATTGCCTTCAATGAGGGTAGACCTGGTGTCTGTAAAATCCCCATTTACTTTAATGGGTAGACCTGTTGCCCCTACATTCCCATTGACTTTAATTGGGGTAGACCTGGTGTCTCTCAATCCCCATTGGGATTAATGGGGTAGACCTGTTGTCCCTAAACCCCCACTGACTTTAATGGGGTAGACCTGTTGTCTTTAAACATCCATTGACTTTAATGGGGTAGACCTGTTGGCCCTGATTCCCCATTGACTTCAATGGGGTAGACCTGTTGTCCCAAAAGCCCCATTTACTTTAATGGGGTAGACCTGTTGTCCCAAAAGCCCCATTTTTGCCTTCAATGGGGGTAGACCTGGTGTCTGTAAAATCCCCATTTACTTTAATGGGTAGACCTGTTGCCCCTACATTCCCATTGACTTTAATTGGGGTAGACCTGGTGTCTCTCAATCCCCATTGGGATTAATGGGGTAGACCTGTTGTCCCTAAACCCCCACTGACTTCAATGGGGTAGACCTGTTGTCTTTAAACATCCATTGACTTTAATGGGGTAGACCTGTTGGCCCTGATTCCCCATTTACTTTAATGGGGTAGACCTGTTGTCCCAAAAGCCCCATTTACTTTAATGGGGTAGACCTGTTGTCCCTGATTTCCCATTGACTTCAATGTGCAGACCTGATGTCCCAAACATTTTGCTGCTAAAAACTCCAATTTTAGGCCTGGAAATTCCCCATTTTTGATGGGAAAACACCCAAAACTTTGTGCTTTTCCCTCCCACAGGTGAACCCAGAGTGCCCAGAGCTGACAGCAACCCTGGATGGCTCCGCCCTGGCCGGGCCCTGGCGCTCAGCGGAGGGGCGGCCACGCCCCAGCCACACCTGGGTATCCTCCCCCTGAAGGCGGGGTGGGCGGGGCCTGGGGTGGGCGTGGCTTTGGGGTGGGCGTGGCCACCACACCGGGCACACCTTGACAGGTGACATCAGCTCTGCGACCTCCCTGCCCCGCCCACCGAACGCCCCGCCCACCTGGAGGTCACCTGGGCGCCTGACTCCGCCCTCCGAGAGGTGACGCTGCTGCCAGGTGAGGCCACGCCCCCATCTGGCCACGCCCACTTCTGGCCACGCCCTTTCCTCACCTGGCCACGCCCTTTTCTCTCCCAGGTGAGGCGGAGGCTTGGTGGCAGGAGCCAATAGTGGAGAGGGAGCTGTTCTGGTGAGCCACGCCCCTTTTTTGCAAACCACGCCCCTTTCTCTGCAAACCCCGCCTTTTCTCACCTGTTGGCCCCGCCCCCAGGCCGGAGCTGGGCGTGGCCGATCCTCAGGTGCTGCAGGATCAGGTGCAGATGTGCCAGGAGCTGCTGGAGCTCGAGCCCCAGAGCCGCGGTGAGAGCCTAAAAAACCCCAAAAATACCCCAAAAGCACTCCCAAAACACCCTAAAAAACACCCCAGAAACACACCCAAAATACACCAAAAAACACCCAAACCCAATGCTAGGTAAACCCCAAAATACCCCAAGAACACCCACAAAATACCCCAAAAAAGGCCCCCAAAACACCCCAAAAAACATCCCAGAAACACCCCCAAAATACCCCAAAAAACACCCCAAAACCACCCCAAAACACCCCAAAAAACACCCCAGAAACACACCTAAAACACCCCAAAAATCACCCAAACCCAATCCTGGATAAACCCAAAAATACCCCAAGAACACCCCCAAAATACCCCAAAAAACACTGCAAACCAACCCCACCCCGTGACCGACCCAAAATCACCCCAAAATATCCCAAAAGTACCCCCAAAAACGCCCAAAAAATACCCCCAACCCCAACCCCAAATACTCCAAAAATACCCCAAAACACCCCCCAAACCAACCCCAAAAAAACTCCCAAAATACCCAAAACCACCCCAAAACCAGCCCCAAAATTACCCCAAAATCACCCCAAAAATAACCCAAATACCCCTCAAATTACCCCAAAAATACCCCCCAAATATGAAAAAAAACCCCAAAAAAACCCCCAAAAATAACCCAAATAACCTTGAAATTACCCCAAAAATACCCCCAAAAAAATAACCCCAAAAAACACCCCAAAAATACACCCAAACCCAACCCCAAATACCCCAGAATAGCCCCAAAAACACTTCCCAAAATACACCCCAAAAATAATCCAGATACACTCCAAAAAAACCCCAAACCACCCCAAAAATACTTCAAAAATTCCCTTGAAACACCCCAAAAACACCCTGAAAAACACCCCAAAATATCCCCAAACCACCCCAAAAACAGCCCCAAAATTACCCCAAAAACACCCTAAAAAACACCCTAAAAACACCCTAAAAAACACCCCAAAATATCCCAAAACCACCCCAAAAACAGTCCAAAAAACAGCCTGAAATGACCCCAAAAATACCCGAAAAACACCCCAAAAATGGCTCCCAAATACCCCCAAACGCGCCTGAAACACCCCCGGAAATACCTGAAATACCAAACTGGTCCATACTGGTTTGTACTGGTCCGTACTGGTTTGTACTGGTCCACACTGGTCCGTACTGGTCCGTACTGGTCCGTACTGGTTCCAGGCTGCCTGCTGACCCTGGCCCTGCTGCTGGCTGCGCTGGAGCCGCGGGGCCGCGCCCGGGAGATCCGGGAGCACCTGGGGAACCTGCAGGTAACTGGTTTATACTGGTTTATACTGGTTTATACTGGTTTATACTGGTTTGGGCTGGTTTGGGCCAGGAGGGGTTCAGGGGTGAGTGGGGAAGGGTTTGGGGGTTACTGGTTTATACTGGTTTATACTGGGAGGGGTTTGGGGGCTTTTAGGGGGGAGTTATGGGGTTACTGGTTTATACTGGTTTATACTGGGAGGGGTTTGGGGCCACTGGGAGCCTCTTTAATGGGAGTTTTGGGGTTACTGGTTTATACTGGTTTATACTGGGATGCCTTTAACCCCTTCCAGTCCGCATCCGGGGTGTTCTGCCCTAACTGGTCCATACTGGTTTATACTGGGAAACCCCCCCCAGCACTTTTGGGCGGGGTTTTTTTCATCCTTACTGGTTTGCACTGGTTTGTACTGGTTTGTACTGGTCCATACTGGTTTGTACTGGTCCATACTGGTCCGTACTGGTCCATACTGGTTTGTACCGGTCCATACTGGTCTATACTGGTTTGTACCGGTGCATACTGGTCCGTACTGGTTTGTACTGAATACCCCAAAAAGCACCCCAAAACCACCCCAAAACACCCCAGAAACACACCTAAAACACCCCAAAAATCACCCAAACCCAATCCTGGATAAACCCAAAAATAGCCCAAGAACACCCCCAAAATACCCCAAAATACCTGAAAAAAATGCCCCCAAACCACCCCAAAGTCACCTTAAAAATACCCCAAAAAACACCCTAAAAATACCCCCAAAATACCCCAAAACCACCCCAAACCAACTCCAGACGAACCCCAAAATACCCCCAAAAGCACCTTAAAAATACCCTGAAAATATCCCAAAAAATGCCCCGAAAACACCCCAAAGTCACCCTAAAAATACCCAAAAATACCCTCAAAAACCACACCCAAATTATCCCAAAAACACCCCAAAACTAGCCCCAAATACCCCCTAAAATACCCCAGAATACCCCCAAAATAGCCCAAAAATAGCCCCAAAAACACCCCAAAAGTAACCCCAAATACACTCAAAAAATACCCCCAAACCACCCCAAAAATACCGAAAAAACTCCCCCGAAACACGCCAAAAACAGCCCCAAAACCACCCCAAAAACACCCCCCAAAAAAGCCCAAAATACCCCAAAAACTGCCCCCAAAACACTCCAAAAAACAACCCCAAATACCCCTAAAATTACCCCAAAATTACCTGGGAAATAGCTCCAAAATACAAAAAAAACTCATAACAAAAAAACCCAAAATACCCCAAAATCAACCCCAAATACCCCAGAACATTCCCAAAAAACACCCCAAAAATACCCCCTGAACCGTTTTTAAAATACCCAAAAAACAACTCAAAAACACCCCAAAAATACCCCAAAA